ATATTAAAAAAAAAAAAAAAAACAAAAAAAAAAAAACCTAATTTTTTAAAAAATTGGGCCAAACCGCTAAAGTCCCAATCTACTTCTCTTTCAAAAAAAAAAAAAAAAAAAAAAAAAAAAAAAAAAACCAAAAGGAAAAACCATAATACATACATTAGGGATCATTTCAACATGATCTGCATAGACATGAATTCAGCAGGCCTTCGGGGATTTGGGTAGAATCCTTGCAGATGAATGGAATCAGAACTTTGGTTATCACACATTCCTAAAATCACACCATGGTTGTTGGTTCAATTATACTTTTTAAAACACTCTTCAAACATAAAATGATAAAAGCTTCTTTAGCAATCTCTTTACCATTATGATAATGTGTTATGAATTTAATTCCAATGCATTCACACTGAAGGTATCTATTTTCACCCTCATTTAATACAGTATCCCTGGGAGAATTCATTCTGAGCAAGAGAATACAGACTCAGATAACAGCTTCAAAAACTATGGTACATGTAAAGCAATATTGTTAAATATGGAAAGGTTCATTATTTAGGAAACAAGGACATAATTATATTTGCAATTCCTAAAATTCATTGGCTACAACTCTGTTAAAAGTCTCCAGGATGCTGAGGTACAGCAATGCCCTTCTTGTAGGTCTGGCAGCACCTCCACCATATGGAGATTATCTTCAGTGCAGTAACATGATGAACTCAAAGCCCATTAAAATGCAGCTGAAAGAACACAGGAAATCCTGGGCTTAGGAAAAGCTAGTACAAGAAAGATGTCATTTAATTTTATTGACATCTTAAAGACAATTACTGTCCTCTCAAATATCATGCTGTCATTTTTTTCTTTTAAATTAAGATATGACGTGCATTTAGGCATGCAGAATGGGAAAAATAGAGGGGGAAGGAACATGAAGCCTATGTTTTTAAGTGTAGTAGACAAGCATAAATTCACTGCAAAACAGTGTGTGCTGACAGAGTAATTAGGCCTAAATGATCTAATATTAAATTTGACGTCTATGGCACCTGCCACGCACCAGATACTGACACAGTGAGTACAGGACTCCATTTCACTGAGCTGGTTTTGAAGTGGCTTTCTAGACTTACTGAGAAGTAAGGCCACGCTGCTCTGTTGAAGCAATCAGTAAAGCACACTGACTGCAGTCAGGCTTGCAAGACCTGGACAAACATCAGTGAAAGTTGATCATTCACTCTCTAACACCACAGAGGGTATTTCATTATTTGTACACCTCTCTGGGGCACCTTCAGAAACAGAATTTCACAGTCAGCATCCCTGGAAAATATGAACTTCTGGATTTGACCTCATTTCACTGGAAATCTTTGCCTCGATTTTTCTTCTGTTGTACATGGCCATGTTCTATGTTGAAGTACAATGTGAAAATCTTATGTTATCCACAATGAACACACAGTGACATTTTTCATCTTGTGTACCACATCCTTCAAGCATATTTAGCTGCTAATTATCAGTACATATATGAACAATAACAACAACAATTTAAAAATAGCAAGGTAAATAAAAGGAGTACTCCTTTTTGAATGGAAGTAATAAGACAAACTTTAGTACTGTAGGTGTAGAGATAGCAAGACTAGGAAAAGGCAAGACTCACTGTTCTCATAACCTCTTCATACAGAATTCCTTTAATAAAATTGAATAAGATTGTATCCTTTCACTTGGTAAAAATTGGATGAAATTGTTTGAATATTATCCAAGAGTAACACTGGAGTAAAAAAAAAAAAAAGTTTATGATCTCAGTGTGTTTTTAATTGGCAAGAAAAAGAGCGTTAGCTGTAAAGCACACACTGACAAGCAAAGAAATCTGATAGATGAGCCAAGTGATTTCACACCAAGAAAGAAGATACCAACATAAAGCAATCATTTAAGTCAAGAAATGTGCCAATCTCTAAATTAAGAAAAAGGGTTAGAAGAAATAAAAATGCTGGTAGGACTATGACATTAAAATAAAGATGCATGTGACAGCATTATTTTAAATTTGCAAAGTAAAATTTATATATAATTGCCTTAATGTCAAGCCTGCAATTCACAAAGGGCTTTGAAAGTTGCCCAAGGCAATAATGAGGTCTATTTTGATATTAGAAGACCACAAAAGAGAAATTAAAGAGAAATTCATAGACATCACTGAACAAAAAAAAAAACAAAACAAAAAGGAACAATATATTGCACAATTAGAGAAAAATTCTTAATAGAAACACATTCAGGAATGACCTCTACTCCATATCAAATGGAGCAACATTAGGCTTCTTAAGATGGTTAGAGGACTGAGCCTCAGTAAAAAAGATTTACACAAATACTGAAGAATTATTGGAGGGGTAATTCATATAATCTATTTTTAGATACAGATTTTTAGCACCTAAACTAGGATCTTGCAGATGCAGCACACAGATGGACTCACAGAAGACAACTTAGCATCTCTTACATGTGCTTCCTCCTCCTGTTACTGTCTGTTAAGTAAGCAATGTCAGCTAGGCAGAAAAGCATTTCACCCTTCTCCCCTCAAACATGCTAAGTACACCTACTAAGTCAAACAAGGTTTTTTGTAAGTTCTGAAAGTCTACAAATGGTTGATGATGTAGCTGATGGCTTGCAATTTGTTTTCACTCTCCTTGATTAAAAAAATGAAAATAAGAAGAACATCTATACTTAAAGCAGTTACACTCATGTCCAATGTAGTCTCTATTTTAAGTGCCAATAAGAATCTTTCAAAAGAATTGTAAAGTAAAATACATCCCACAGATCAGCAAAACTGCACTTTTGGCTGTGCTTGTTCTTGCATGGTAGCCATTACATAAACTGCAAATGCACTTCTACCATTTATTCTATTAAATGTTCTTCACACAGGGGACTGTGCATGAAATACTCGCATTTTATAATGGAATTTTATTGCTGTGAGACTGAGAAAATAGGACACGTCTACTGAAATCGATAACTTCAGTAAACTGCAGGCACGTCACAACCAGTGTTAGACAATGGCAGCCATTCTGAACAGTCCGTAGCAATTGAAGAGTAGCACAGAATAAATATCCTAACGATGTGTGGGGATGTTTTTTTTTTGTTAAGTCTGTCAGGATTACACTCTTACTGGCATGTACATTATCTGAATTTACAAGTTAGTTCCGGTGAGGCTGAAATTTGAACAGTGCAGAACATTTTGGCCTTGACTCCAGGAAATAGCAGAAACATTTTGGACTAAGACGACAAGGATCTCTGAAAATTTATTTTCATATTTCATGTCAAGACGGCCCTAACTGATTTGCTAGATCAGACTACTATAGCTCTTCAGGTGCTGTCACTCTTCCCTTTGGTCCGCTGTTCACAACAGCAATTCTCTTCTCTGCATTCACATCATGCAACTTGTCATACTCTAGGGTCACACTCTAGACCCCAGCTTCCTAATCACATAATTCTTTGCTGCAAAAGCCTTATAAAAATGTCCTTGCCCACATTCAGACACATTTTGTATTGACTCTACTAACAACTTGGCTGTATCAGTTATCTGCTTTCACCTCCTCTGTGCCATTTTATCTGTTCTTTGAGGTTCCAAACAGTCAATCACATTCCATTGTTAAATGACATCTTCTAGACAAAGATTCCCTACAATGTATTTAAATTTGATACAACCAAATATTAAACACCCTACAAAGTATTTCATAATAGCAGAAGAATATAAATCTGATTTTATCTGATGATCTGTGAAGCTCCTTCCAACACAACACATGTTCCTTCTCTGCATAAGAACATTATTTTTTCCACATGGTGTGCAGAAAAGTTTCTGTCACTGTGTAATACAGCTTACATGAAATTGCTCATCCTATGAAATACCAGACCAGCTGAACATAAGTAATGAATTGCTTTGCTACAAGCCTCTGATCTATGCAAAATTGGCTACTATGCAAAATTGGCTCTTTGGATGCAACTGCATTTGACCCAAAGTAGTATAAATGTTTTCATATAAGTTTCCTACCTTGTCTTGAAAATCTGGCTTCTAGTTAGCTTGCGGCAGGGAAAACAAAAAACTGGCAGCAGCTCTTCCTCAAGACAATGCCTTACCCAGGCAGATCCCATGGACTCAAAGCTGAACAGCCTTGTCAGCCAGCCCAAGGAAGGCAAGCTCAAATCAATCCATTGTCTGCAGACTGCACAGGCTATGCGAGGAGCCACGGAAACCCTTCCTCAGCACTATGGAATATGGACCTCAGAACTTCAGGCACAGGCCACCTGCAACAAATAAAAGGTAAGCCCAGAGTCATCCCTGTATTTTTACACTTCTGTGAACACAACAGCCAATTCCAAACAGCCCGAAAGCCTCTCTAACATTTTGGAAGCATGGGGAAATCCTGTGGTATGTGCTGAGAAATTCTGCTGGAGAGAACAGCGATGATTCAAAGAGTCAGGAAAGAGATCACGATTATTACTCCCTCAGGGTACAACAGATTAATAGGAGCTCATCTGAAAACAGACAAAACTGTGTGGGTGAAGCTGAGCCTCTCCTATGGACTCAGAACCCGCAAGAGACATGGCTGGTTCTTTAAGCAATAGCTGCAGTACAGTTTTATAGTGCACATTCAGTCTGTCTGTAAAAAGAGACGTTACAGATGAAGTAAAAAAAAAAGACTTGTTCAAAATAATATTGATCAAATTGCCAGATCAGTGAACAGTGAAACAGGTATGTCTTCCTGTAGGTCTTTGTTACTGATTGACCGTAGAACCATTAGTGTGAATGTGCTTTCCTAATGGGTTAGCAGAATTGACTTCTGAATGACAATGTTTCTCTTCCAGGCTTATACAGCCCCAAAAGTGCAACGAATGAAGAAATTTTGCTGAATCTTAAAGGACAAAGGTCAAACAGAGGCAGATATATGCTCTCCCTGCCCTACAGTGAGTTCAACTTCTTTTTGCAAAGAGGAGAGTTTATTTTAAAATAATATTTTAATTGTGACAGTTAATTAAAAGGAAACTATAAACCTCTGTCAAAAAGCACAGCAATCTATTCCCAAATGGGCTTCTGTACTTTGTTTCTGTTTTCTGGTGCATCAGCTACATGCACACTTTGCTTTGTATTTCACCAACAAAAGCTTAATAGCACTCTGGCAAGTAGGGTAGTGCTCCGAGAGGCTTAGTGAAGGACCTTTAAATGCAGGGAAGCAGATTAAAAGTTCAGTAAACAAGGTGAGGAACAGTAGTGATGAGGACTCAAAATGCCTCAGCAAAATGAGAAAGGTATAAAATTGACATGGCTTAAAAGCATCCTTTTCAAATGGGATTCTCCACCACAAAGCGCTCCCAGTCTCCTCCTAGGCTGTAAAATCTTCCTGTTCTGCTTCCACACACGCACTCAGTGTAAGGGAACAAAAGCAAGGTGGAACTACATGCAAAGACAAGAGGAACATGAATGCATGCCCCAGTGTGAGCAACTTCGGCCTGGCCGCAGGCACCACAGAACTCATGGGGTTCTTTGCTGCTGAGGATGCTTCCACACATGCACAGTACTGTGTGTGTCAGCGGCCAGTGAATGCCTGCTCCACAACCATACAGTATTATGCTCATAATAGAGAAAAAAAGACAATTTGGCTTAATAGCCTGCTGGCACTGCTGGAGGTTCCACAGGGTGTTTAAAAACTTGGTTTTACAGAGCATCATAGGAGGAAGGCCTGCTGCCTGCCGAGGTTTGAAGTCAGTATTTCACTGTTAGAGACATGAAACCACTCTGGTCATTGGTGCTGACTGACTTCATGCCCAAGTTAACAATCATACCCAGCAAGTTAGCTGTCTCTTCTGATATGCCTGCCATTAAAATGGATACTGCAAATCTTTATGCAGTTATATAGCAATAAATTTATCAGAAATCCTTGCAAGTACTCAGATGATCTAAAAAGCAGCAAGTGCTTAGTCACTGCTGAGAGGCAGCAAATCTGAACTCCTGGAAGGGAGGAGCGCTGTCCAAAGAACTGCTCACCTGGGAAAACTGCTGGCATTTTGTACATTATTCTTTAAAACTTTATCTAATAAATGTAGTTCAGTTTAATAAACTGACAAATATTCCTGAATGAACATAACCAATGATTTTAATATCTGGCACTAAAACTTAGGAGTAGATAAGTGCAAAGATAACAGATGAAATTTTCCCCTACCAGTGCAAGAGGAGGAAAAAACCTCCTGGCTTTTATCAGAATTTCCTCGTGCAGCCTCAGCCACTGAAACATGGATAAGGTAAAATAAATTGTTCAACGCTAATAGTGACCAAGGGGACACAGCATTAACAGAAAATATTTGAACACAGACTGCAAATAAACAGGTACTTTAATGAAAGACTTAAGAGACAAGTGAATGCTTTGTTCAACATTTTAAAAGCATATTTCATGGTGAGAAAGGACATGAAGCACGCACACACACATCTCTGCTTCTTTGCCAGAGTGCTGCTCAAGCCATCCTGAATGGCAAAACCAAGCCACTACTATCTCTAAGTATGAATAAGTGGAAAAAAGCCTGTTACATGGGACGCTGGGGTAATAGCTTCCTCCCATGAAAATTGGAGGTGGACCATTAGTGACATATAACATCAAGAAGTACACTTCCAAGAAGTCATGTACCTAGAAAATTATTTCTGGACCGAGAGGTCCAGAATTCTACTAAAAGATCAGTTTGTACAGCAGCAGATTTGTTCCTGTAATCTCTTGGTGCCGATACATGGCACACCAAGCAGCCTACAACACTGTGCCCCAAGGCAGCCACAGCCCAAAGTCCTGGCCCAGAAATCTCCTGGCCATTTCTTAAGTATAAAACAAAAAATCTCTTCCCTACTTATGCGTCTTCCAATAACCCTCCTTTTCTTCCTACATTCCTCTATTACAACATATTCTTCTGCTTAAGGAAAAAAAAATATATCAGAACAAGCAAGTTAAGCTTATTCTTACTGGCAGATGTTTGTCCTTTCTTTGAAGACTTAGTTCTCAGGTGGCTACAAGGAGGATAGGCTTCTTTCTTCAATTCAAAATCAAGGAGTCTTTCCTCTTCTTTTCATTCTCCTTTCAGCTCCCTGTCCAGACCACTTTCCTCTCACGGAGTTAAAAAGAGTAAATATTTTAGACTTATTACAATACCTTTCCTCCCCCAGAAGAGATCCCAACAGGCTTTCCTAATTTGACTTCAAAGTTCCAAGCAGTTCCAACTGCCACTAAAATTAATGAGAAATGAGTGTGCTGCAACTTGAGGAATTAGGTCCATTCAGCATCAGTCAAGTAACACCAAGTCACTGTTCTCAGTGCAGAAATGAAACCATTTTCAGGACAAAAACCAGAAGTGCAACATCCTTTTCTTTTCTTATTCTTCAAATTCAGCAAATCTCAGGTGGGAGGGAAAGGGGGAATTTTTGCCAGCTTTGAATATCTCTGAAATAGTTTCCAGTTTCTAAAACCCACCCAATATGATGGTAAGGGAAAAAATGAAAAAGCAACAAAAACCTAAAAAAAAAAAAGCCAAAAAACTGCTTTGCAGTTTGAAATCACAGATACTGCATCTACTGGGCTGTCTGCAACAGGACAATGCATTACTCAACCAAAAATAAAGCACAATCCTAGAACTACAAGAATTCAATAGATAACAAACATATCTCAAAATAAGAAAATAAGACAGCAACAACTCTCAAAGTAGACTCAACTTGTTCTTTTGATTGTTATTTCTGAAAGTACAAGAAAATCAGATGAAATACACTACGAAATAGATATTCTAATAATGTAAGAGGAAATTAAAAGCAGATATTAGAGGGCTGCATGATTCAGAAAATCAGGAGACTGCTACTGATAATTGCTATTTATAAGTACTCCCAGTGCTTTATCTTACATGAGTTATAGAGCAGACTCAAACTATAGACCTTACTGCATGTTTTCTGTATATATAATAGTGGTGCATTCGTACCGTTGTACAGAAGGTTGTCAGCACTTCCACTATAAACCTTTTACTAGGGATTTTAAATTTTGTCATAAAACAGTGTGTCAGGATGAAAACTGGCATGGGCAGTTGCAGTCTATTAACAGCACAAGTTAAATGCTGCAAATACAGTCACAGAAACGCAGAAGCTAGAAGGGGCCTCTGAAGATCACCAGTTCCAACCTCCTTGCTCAGCAGGGTCAGCTAAAGCAGGCTGCCCAACTTGAATATCTTGAAGACTCCAAAATCTATCCAGGCAACTTGTTCCAGCATTTGATTACCTTTGCAGTAAAGATAATAACACTTTCATGCATATATATGTTATTAATTATTATATACTGTATATCATATTAAAAAAGAAGTTTCAAACCAGTAAGAATGAATACCATTGTTAGCTTGCCATGATCCAACTATATTAAAAAGAATGCAACCTTGAATTCATTACTGCAGTATCTTTGTATTTATACAAAGACAACCAGCTAACTGACCATAGAGTAGTAATGTTGCCATGTACTTAAACTAACATGCTAACCCAGCCCCCATTTGAAAATATGACGCTCCTTAGTTCAGTAATTACTGATACATTTCTTGAAGGCCAAAGACAGTACACAAGCTTACATGCCACATGTCTAATCACACTGATATCCTGGGCTGATATAACCTTGGTAATCTGTACCCTCAACAAGTACCTTGGAAAAAATAGATGCCAGCTTTATTGATTTCATACAGGCTTAAGATGCTGGCAAAGAATCAGCTATGAAACTGTTCTTTGCTCTTCAGTCAATTCTCTCATCAGCAAAAGAGACAGAGCCTCCTTCCCAAACACAAAAGGTGACAAGTTTGCATTCTGCCTGCAAATCCAAAGCACACTTAATACAAGTTTTCCTGGTTGCTTTGTTAAAAGACCGATTCTGCTCACATACACACAGAAAGAAAGAAAATCCATATTGAGAAGGCTCTAATTAACAGATCTTTCTTCACCGCAGACAAGTACCCAGAGATGAAAAAACTCAGATTACCTGCTTCACACTGATAAAGAGCAGAAATGGAACCACCATCAGCTGTGGAAAGGCATTCCATTGTATTTAGGTAAACCACTACCTAACGCACTTTTCATAACTCTCATCAAAATAAGAATTACAGCCTAAGGTATTGGTATGTTGATCAAAAACCTTATAGGCCTTCGCAGGATCAATATTCTCTTCCTCTCTCTCTTTTCTTTAATAGCCAGGCTAAGGATGATGTTTGCTCTTTAGCATCCTTAGTATTTAGTATTGCATCAAAATCAATAT